GGTCACGAGTCTTGGAAAGCAAACGGGGAGGGGAGGGCCCTGTGTCCTCTAGCCCTAACAGACAAGGTGAAACCAGATTAAGCATCTGCCGGATGAGAGGGATGAAAGGACAGGGTATTAAAAACCGTGTGGAAAATACCGCTCTGGTCCACCAGAGCAAAGCAAATTAAAAAAAAAAAAAGCCTTGTGTGGCTCCGAAATTTTCTGAAATGTCTTTGAGAAATCTGAGGTAATGAGAATGCAGTTCTTTTGTGAGCAGCTTTTCTGCATGTTTCCGTCTGTACCTACCCCCTACATACACACACCTTGCGTAAGCCTCCACTGTCCACAGGTTACACCTGCTCCTTCCCCTCAGTAACTGCATTAGGCACTCTGTTCACTTGAATGCACCGAAAAGCCAAGGAGCAGAAGAGCTACAGCTTGCACCCGACGCCGACTGCTCCTCCTCTGCCCAGCTAGCCTGCAGTGCTGCCTGTAGAGTCAGTGGGGTCTCGTTTTCTGACATGCCAGCTCTGGCGCCCTGCCAGGCTCCACATGGTGTGCCGCTGTCTCTCCCGGCAACGCCGCCACACCGCGACCGGCTCCTGCCCGGTCCAGTCCGCGGCGTTAATGACGGGCTCCCTCGTCTCCGCCTGCCGCGTTCAGCGCCCCGCAGACGCCGTCTAAAAGCTGCTACTACACCGGCGAGCAAGCGGCGCAGCGCTGGGCGTCTCCCTCTGCCGGCGCGCACGCCAGGGGGAACCTGGGCACAAGACGCCCCCCCCCGGAGACCCGAGGAGGGCACCGGCGCGGGCGGGGATATACGCCCACGCCAACAGCGTCCCTGCCTCTGCCCGGGCTGAACTGTGCACAAGCGTTTCACGAGCGTGCACAAGCGTGCACAAGCACGCCCCCACCCATCCAGGCAATGCAGTTCGACCGCGGACAGACTAGCTGTCGCTGCTCCTGCTTCCATCGCATCCCGTTATCGGGAGTCCAGACTCGCCAGGACGTGGAGATCTTGTTTTCTGGGACGTGGGAAGAGACTGCGACGTCTGAAAAAGATACGTCCTGTATATGTTTCTCTTCCCCTCCCCTTTACAAAAGCGCCAAAAGGCAGTCCTTCCTCCCTCAGAGTCAGCCCTGAAGCACACGGGGTGGGGGGGGGGGGGGGGGGGGGGCGCTCAGCACATGGAGATGGTGACGTTGATGCCCAGGTTGCCGTTGTCGGCGAACAGGTGGGCGATGGAGGTGTCGAACACCAGGCAGTCGCTGTTCATGATGGCGGCCGCCACGCCGTCGTGGATGGAGCGGGGCGTGGCCTCCCAGGTGAGCCGGCGGCGGTTGCCGTTGAGCTCCAGGCGGTAGGCGAAGCTCTCGGCCTGCTTGCGCGTGCCGATGAGCAGCACGATGGCGAAGAACTGCTGGTGGCCCTCGTACTTCTCCTGCTTCTCCAGCACCAGCATGAAGTGGTGGCCGAAGCAGGACTGCATCATGACCCAGTCCACCGCCCCCGGCAGGTTGATGTCCGTGGCCAGGAAGACGATGTCCTCGCCCTGCAGCGTGGTGATGCTCTTGTGGGCGTGCATCAGGTGGGGCATCACGGCCTCCAGCGAGCCCTGCCACTTGCAGGACGCCCCGGGGCAGGGGCAGGTGTAGGGGCGGAACTCGCACACCTCCTCGTGCTCCGGCTTCTCGCTGTGGTGCAGGGACAGCAGGCATCCGGCAGAGGCGTACTGGAGAGAGAGAGGGGGGGGAGAAGACAAGAAGCGAGGTCAAAGTTCACAGCAGGCTTGCGGCGCTGCCTTCGCGTGTCACCTGGTCACGGTCTAGCCGCGGCAAGAACGACAGAGATCCGCGACAGCCTGACGCGCGAGAGAAAAGGGAACAGGCCTGTGCCAACTGCAAGACCAGGGCCCTCAGAGTCCTTTCCTGCAGGGCCTGGTGTCTTCTGCGTTTTGTTCCACC